TTTCTTTTGAGTCTTTTCCGAATTTTTCATACAATACACTATCTAATTATATTTTATCAATGACTTGTAATTTATACATGAATACTTGATGACGTTATTTTATCAGTCACTAATTTATCAAGCTATGAAATCATGAAAAACCTATGTTATACTGACCGAACTTTGTATTATTCAAAGATCTTTATGCAAAGAGATGTTAGTAATATTAAAAATTGACCATCAACATAAGTTCATCTTATTTTCATATGAATTTCAAGCAGTAACAGACCCGTAGGCAAGGGGAGGGGGGAGCTCGAGGGGCCCGGGCCCCCACCTAGCCTTTTCTCCTGTAACACTTATTACTGAATCTTTCTTGGATTTGCTCTCAGAAGGACAACCTTGTGAAAGAAATCACTATGAATGAAGGCGATTCTTAGTTAAAGTACCACTATTATTTTATTCGTTCTTGTTAGGTAATGACAGCTCCTTCTTTTCTTCGGTACGTTTCTCTCTATATTCATATTGTTACTTTTTTCTTCGATTGTCACGCCTTATGAATTTATCCTTTCGTTCTTTCTTTTATATGGTCTTTTCCCTTTCTTTTGTTCTATGAGTTTTTCCCTTGTCTGTTGTTGTATGTTGAATATACATCAATCAATCATCAATGATGATGATGAAGATAATATTCAAATTGTCGAGAATTTCACTCGACAGAAACGACGAATTAAATTTAACTAGTGCTTGTTTTTTCTTTTATTGTTTGTGACTATTAACTTAAGATAGTTTCTGGAAAATAAGTGTTTTTTTTTGAAATTTAATAAAAGAAAACAAAACGAAAAAGTTGCATCTAAGATGTTAAGAACGAAAGTATCGATATTGAAAATCGTACGAGAAAAGTCTTTGCAACTTTAGAAAAAAATTTGAATTCGAGCTCGCTCCTTAAAAAATTCCTGGTTACGGGCCTGAGCAGTAACACACCAATATGAATATATTAATAAATACCAACTGAAAGATGAATGATAGCTTAGAATTTTTTAGATAGTCGATAATTAAATTGATTTGTCTAATAGTTGTGGAGACTAATATATTCCAATCACTAGTGATATTGATAATCAATAAACTAAACCAGTTTTCATTACTATAATGAATGAAAATAACTGGGACATTCACAATATCTTATATAAAATAGTAATGATCATCAAAAAAACATAGAATAATAAAAAATAGTTTTAAAAAAAAATTGATTATTTTAATATTGATTATATTTAAAAAAAAAGCATTTTCAAATAATTAGATATGGTGATATGTATCCAATAACAGTAATTGGTCGAATATTTGCTTGTACATGTGCTTACTTTGGTGTTGCAACAGGTGGTATACTTGTATCAATACTTGTTGATCGTTATCAACGTGTTTATAATAGAAAAAAATTTTATCCTGAACAAATTATATCAGCAGTTGATCCAAATGAAAGTGAACATGAAGAAAAACAAGAATTTATAAATAGAAAATTATCTGAAGTTAAACATTTTGTATCAAATATACCAATTATTCCACCGACACCGGCACCTTCAATATCTTCACCAAAAACTAATAGACAATTTTCTAAAATGAGTACTTTATCATCTCAAATTCAATTTATTATTTCATTTAATGATAATCAAACACATGATCAATCAATAAATCAAACAGCCAATGAACTTATGAGTGAATTAAAAGAAGTAGTCAAAAATAGTAACGAAGAGATTAATTTTAAATTAATTAAGCATAAAACAAATTCTTTAAACGATAGAATATCAACTGTAAATGAATTATCTTCGAATTCTTAAGAATAAATATTTTAAATAAAATTTGAAAATTTTCTTTTCTATTGATATATCATGAATTCATTTTCTACTATTATTAAATCAGTTTTTATTAAATACATTGATATAAACAGTAAATCATTCACAAATAAATATAGAAGAACATTTTTAATTTGACATTTTATTTTAATTAACAAAGGAACTATTTCAATAAACTTCGTTCGAGTTCATTTTTTACTGACAGTTAGTAACCATAAATCGAGATAAAACGTCCTAAAAGAATTTTTGTCATAAGCGCTTTTTTCTTGACTTATGATCATTTTACTGAATTTTTAGTCGATTGTAAGATATTACAAGAAAAAGTGAATCAAGAAAATTTTACTTCTATATTTTATTCATAAATAGATCTCATCTTCTTCGTAATACCTGATACAAGGTTGCAAAATGACTAGTCTCTCGCGATAGTTGTTTCGTTGTTATTTATTGAAAAAGTATATATGATGAAAAATAATGCATTTGAAATAAGCATATTGAATGATCAATATTAATTTTGTTTTTCGATAAAAAAAAATAAATATTGTTTTTAATCATTTTATGGTTAGGAATTTACTCTTTACTCAAAATATTTTAAAAATATTTCATAAGTTAACGAAATTTTGATCATATTGGATGAATTTTTTAAAATTTAGCTAAAAAATAATCAATTTGTATCAATTATAAAATCATCGGCAATATTTATCGTTGTACTAGAATAATTACCAGAATAATATTAATTCTTGAGAATTTATATGATATTCAAATTTAATACTGAGCCACAATATATGATAGGTTTTACAGTTGCATTTGAGACGATTATAATAATTCTTAATAATAAATAAAGATGATTGTTAATGATTAAATTCAATTTGAGAAAAGTATTGGAAATGTTTATCTGCATTTTGTTTTAGTAACGAAATCATTAGGAGATCTTTCATGTATTATTTTAGTTTATCATAAAACTGTTGCAATAATATTCTAGTTGAAACAAATCGAGAAAAATATTTTGCGCTAATATTTTATGTAATCACACTTTATTTTATCTAATAAAAGTTTGTTAGTATAGTCCTGTTCGAGACTAAAATGCGTAACTCACATGTGTTTTGTTAAGGTCACTATAATGATACATAATATGTAAATTGAAAACCATCTGTAGCAAATGATAATTGTCTTTCAAGGATAATCAATCGTAAGAGAAACTGTCTATTTCATTTATTTCAGCATTTTTATTTCTCTTGTTGGTATTCACCCGTTATTTATTTTCCTTTTATTTTTGTTTTATGTTGAAAAATGAGAAACTACACTATTGAAAAAACTCAAGAACATGTGCTAGTCATTTAAATTTTAAAGAAAACTTTCGAATATTTTCGAAGTCTAAAACTTGTTGCTTATATATGGTTGCTGTGAAAAGTACCTACTGATCATTGACTCTGCTTACTGAAGTCTATTGCGAGTGTCTTTGCCAATATGTCTATGCCTGTTAATGGTGTTCAAATCATATGATCTCTATACCTTGACCATCATGCTTTGACCCAGATTGCTATGGAAGAGGAATCGAAAAACCTCGCCTTATAGCTTTTATTGACGATTTTTCTTTGTTAAATATGATCATATTAGAGAATGTGATCATTATAAGAAGATACGAATGTACGTAGTTAAGTATCTTAACATGACCTACTGAAATTTCAATCACTGAGTTTATTTGTTGACAATACATTTCGTATAGAAGGATTTAATAAGAGCAAAAACAAAACACTGCGCATTTAGAGAAAATTTCTTGAGATGTGCTAGAACTTCTAGTTTTTTTTTTGGAAAATTATTCTATCTGAACTTATACGACAGTGATGGTTCTAGTTAATGAAAGCAAAATAAAAATATTGGCATAATTATGATAAACCTCGCATTTGATGGTCTCAAACTTTTTTTTTTGACAAAAAGAAAAATACAACTGACAAACATGGTTTTTCAAATCAATTTAAATTTTATAGAAGAATTTTTTGTCATATTAGAAAAAAGAAAGATATTCTACGAGCACAGGAAATTTAAACAAAAACTTGAATATGTATTTGGATAATGTCTAGTTTTAGGATATTCGGGACATAAATGAATGAAAGTTCACGACGAAAGTCGCCTCTATTATATCGCCGTTTTTCGTATTTCTATAAAATGCTCAAAATCGTATGAGAAACCACGACCATTTGCTAGCGAGTGAAATGGCGCGTAAAAGAGCATGGTCGATTACAAGAAAATGATCCTTCTGAGTGAGCAACAACTTACATTTTATAATAATTAATAATTGTATAACTTTGTAAATAGATGTCGCAGATGTATGTTTATCTTGCGAAGTCTTTTGTCTAAGTTTGAAATAATATCTTAAAAAAAAGTTTATTTTATTTAATTGAATTAATATTTAATGTTAATAGAAATAGAAGTTCAATTAACAAAATGCGGAGGTAAAATTAGCTGAAAATCCATTTTGTACCGAAATCATTCTGGCTCTCTTTTCTTTCGTTCATTCCCAATCAATTTAACTATTTTATTTCATTTTAAGTACTTTTCTCATAGAAATGTCAGTTTCTTCTTCATCTCCAACTCATTTTATATCAATTGATCCTCGTATTTATTGTGAAACCATGAATGAACTTCATTCATACATCACAAGTTCTAAACGTGGTTATTTAACACAAGCTGAACTTTTTCGTTATTATCGACAACGACATGATAATGCTGAAATACCTTATCGTTTATTAGGCTATCGATCATTACTTGATTTACTCAGTAGTGATCAACGTCTATTTGCAATTGATTTACGTCGTGAACCAGCTTATATTTATTCAGCAGTTAAAGTAATTATTACAACAACAAAAAAAACGAAACAAATATAAACTTTTAATTTTTAAAATTTAGCTTCGACAACAAAAACGAGAACGACGACGTATGTTTTTATTAAATAATAAATCTTATTATCTAAATAAAAATGTTTATATAACAGAAGGTGGTACAAGTTTTTCTCGTCAACATCATTCAACAAATACACTTGATGAACAACATGTTATACCTCCTGATTATGTTTTTTTTGTAAAAAGATTATTTTTTATTTTATTTTTTTATAAAAATTTAACTTTTTTTTTTTTTTTATTCTAGGATCATCATGTACCATTAAATGAACAACAACAACAACAACAGCAGCAGCAAAATTTTGAATCGACTGATGAACAAGAACAGTCGATTGAGACACAAAATGAACGTCCATTAACACCAAATAATCGTAATAGTTGTGATAACAATATTTGGGTAATATTTCGTAAAAGAAAAAAAAACCAAATACTTTATTAAATTAAATTTAAGCATACACCACAATTAGATGAACAAAGTTCATTAATCGAAAACAAAATTAATTCAGAGGAAAGTAACCAAGAATCAATTCAATTTACGTCTAATCCATTTTTACTATTACCAACTGTTCATCTTTCATCAGTAATAAACAATCTTCGAATTTATATATATATATATATTATTTTCATTTATTTTAGGAAATTGATGATACAGCATCATTAATTAAATGTGAAAATCAATATAAACCAATCCAACGAAAAATAATTTTCCAAGATGATCATATTCATGAAAATAAATGTCCAATAATTCGAGTAAATATTAATTTAGCGATGATTCGAATAAGAAGACTAACCAATGTGAAAAACGACGTTTTAACCTCATATTGGGTTCATAAAAAAGTCTCGATAAAACTAGAAAAAATCTAAAACAGTTTATACTCATAGATCTATGAAGTCGAGTTATGAAAATCTTACTGGATTTTTGCCCATAAACAGGTTGAATAACTAGTTTAATGTTCTGAAATTTGTAGCCAAAAAGATTTTTTCTCTGTCGTGACATACTAAATTTCCCAAAAAATGGTTGTTTTCCACAAAAATCGAGTTTACACGAAAATTCAATATTTCGACAAAGAAGAATTCGTTTCGATTGGAACTTTCAGAATATTCTATTAGTTATTCGATATGCCTGTAAAGTAATTATAGTTCAGCTCCAGAGGCTCATGAAAAAAAAACCATTTTAGAATTTTTGTATTTCTTATTGAGACTTCCTTATGAACTCAATATGAGCTCACACGACGGATATTAGTTTTGGGAATTCTCTCCTACAAAAAGAAATTTTCATCTACAAATATACATATGAAATGTTAATGAAACAATATCGATTGAATATTACATTCAAATGATCATTTTTATATTTCGTTATCAAATTAATAAAATTTCTTTTTTTGACGGTACAATTATATTTATTAGTTTCATAAAAAACAAAAGAAACGTTTTATGAATATTCTATTAGATTTATAGAACAATTTTATAACCTCTTATCGATCGAAGGAATTCTATATCGTGTATGATTATATATTTTGATGAAGTTTACGAAGACAAACAAGTGTAACAGTGATCCATATAGAAGGATATATATATATATATATTTATTTATTTATAGTAGAGACGTAAGATGTTCACCTTTTTGTTAATATATTGAGCTTAGGATAGAGCTTAAAAACAATTCACTGAGTCTTTAATAAATTTGTTCTTCGATGTTTTATAAGATATGAATAATATCATTTGTATTATCTTGATTTTGGTTTCATCGAAACGGTTTAATCAATGTTTAATTAATATTTATTTCTGAGTGTTTTTTTATATTTGATCAAGATATATTTCTTGATAAAATAATTAATAAAAATATTTTTTTCTATTAATGAATTGTTCTAAATATTTTAGTTTTAGAAAAATGATAAATTTGAAATTGTTTATTTAAGGAAAGAACAATATTAAAATTTTCATCTCCTCGTCTTAATCGATCAATAAGTACATCAACAACATCATTATCAAAATCATATTCTTGGTATTTAATTAATTTATATATTTTACTTTTCTCTGTTTTTATTTCTTTTATCTTTATTGGTATTTATTTATATAAACTTTGTTAAATTATTTTTCTTTTATTTTAATTAACTTTTTATTTATTTATTTATTTATTGAAATTCTGAAGAAGAAACAGTTTCTATTTTTGTTTGTTTGTTTGTTTGTTTTACTTTATATGTATTATATATTATCATTTATGATTTATTCATGGTTCGTTTTACTAAAAGATAAAAATAAAATATCTCTATAGATGGAAGGTTGATATATTGATCTATTTTGTTTGCAGAGACAAAAGAAATTAAAAATCAATGCGAAATAACGAAAAAAAGAAACTTCATGAAAATCTTAAACAAGAAATTCGTTCATTATTAATTAGTTCACCAAAAACTAAATATGGAGGATTATCAGGTTCATTATTATATTCGGATTATAAAACATTAAATTCTGGTAAAGAAATACCATGTAAGTTATTTATTATTAAATTAAGAGAAAAAAGAAGTTATTTCCAATTTTAAGCCTTTTTCTTTTTTTACAAATGAAGAATGCTTCGAGATATTGAATTGATCGAGAATGAACATATTTTGATAAACTTCCAGTAGTTTTGTATTTTCGAACGAATAATACATTCAACATGCATCATTTGGCGGAATCATTTGAAATATTTGTTATTCCGGGGTAAATTGTTTTTCTATGATATCAGATTTCGATCAGGAATAATATTGATTTTCGTCCAATGTTGCTTTCAATTTTTTCTTTTTACAAAGAACAAGATCGAGCTTTCTCATCATAGATTTGTGTTAACTTGGAACGAATACTGAACTTAATTATTTAAAGTCTTGTATAGAATGACTTAATTTTCCCTCTTATATATTAAAAAGCAACATTTTCAACAAGAAACTGGAAATATGAAAGTTATATTCTACAATCTAAATTCGATTGATTTTTTTGTTTGATTTCATTGTTAACAGTGAAAATTTTCTTAAATGTAATGTTTGATCGATGATTTCAAAATGAGGAAAAAAAAATTTTTCAAAATAAATTTTAGAATCTTTATTATTTAAAAGTATGTATCGTCGAGTTCTGAATTTTTACTAACATCATAATTTATCATGATCAAGTTACTTACGAAAATATAGTAAAACTCTTATTGAGCTGGACTGGGTCTATGAAAATGAATCCATAGGCTACCGAACTTTGATCTAGTCCAGTTTATTAATCATCGATCTAGTTAAACTTTTTTTCCGCAGATAGTAAGTTTTAGCATGCTACTCAAAAATTCTTCATCATAATGAACGATTATTTTATTTCATAAATAAAATCATGATTTGTTCACGAAAGAGAAGAACGAAACAATGATACTCTTTTTGTTTTCAACAAAATATCAAAATGTCAATGTAAAACTGACAAAATGCCAGCGGACTATGTAAACTAATCACATATGTAAGTCAATCAAATTTGCCAGTCTTGCATAGACATGTCAACACTTTCTCGGTAGATTAATTTTATTTTTTCGATATCGTTTCTGATTGAAAAAGAAATATTTCAAAATTTATTCGGATTAAATCTTTAAAATGTCTTGAATTGAAATATCAATTTTTTTAATCATCTTTCTTAAACTTTTTTTTCAAAGTCCCGATCTTAATATAGGACTAAAACCAATTCGGTACATTTCTACTTCTATTATGATGTTCTTATCTTTTATTCTGCTTGTATACTTATTGATAGTTCATTGCGAAAAGTTTGAACTAATCAAAAGACAAAATGAAATCTTTTTGAAAAAAACACTTTCACAGTGATAATACCTGGCAAGTCTATGGAACTGTAAGTTTTAGTCGAGATTCTTTCTCTATTTGAAAGTTCTTAGTCTAAGAGTATCCGTCGTAAAATCAAATCAGTTCAATACAGTTCATAGTTTGTTTCCAAAAAATTTTTGGGTTAATCAAGATCATTGAGAGCTCTGAAATATGTAATTGCCGTCTTCTCTAAAGACAAAAACATGGAATGTTCTTAGAAAATCTCGAATCTTTTATTAATTATGATAAATATTTATAAATATAGATGGTGAACTTGGTTTTCATTCATTTTTGGCTTTATTACGTTCAATGCCTGATGTTGTTCGAATTGAATACAAAGAAAATAGTCCATCATATCGTGTTCATCCAGTATATGATGAAACAATAGCACATATTCAAAAAATGGTACTTGAACAACGTGATAAATATGAATATCAAAATCAAGTAAATTAATAAGTCAAATAAATATTTATCATAATTAATAAATATATATATATATATGTGCTTTAGATATATAATCAAAATTGGCATTCAAATAAATATATAAAACAGAATAATTTTATTCCATCAAATTGTAATTTCTTAATTACTTTTTAAAATATGTTTTTAATTTTCTTTTCTAGTTTATAATAATGAACAATTACCATATTTACATAACTCATTATCTCGTTGTAAGTTGTTGAGAAATATTTTTTTGATTTAAATAAAAGTTTTGTTTTTTATTAAAAGATACGTGGAACAATTTTGGAGTCAATGTTTCGGTATCTATTAAATATACAATAAAACATAAATGATCTAATTCTTTTCGTTCTTTTTTTTTTTTTAGAATCATTTTAATAACAAAACAAAAAACTTCTTTGAACGATCTGGTTAGTAGTTAATCTTTTATTTTTAAATAAAACATTAGTTTATTTCTAATAATTTGTTAGGTCCACAAAAATTCTTTATATCGAATGAACGACAAAGAAAATATTCTTTTCAACCTTATTTACTTGTAAGACCAAATGATTATGACAAAGAAAATAAAAAGATAAATTTTCNACATTGTCAATCGATTGATAATTTTGAATTGTGCTACAGAACAATTCGATTTTAATCAAACTAATTTCTATTGGGCTAGCAATAACATCAAGTTTGGGTTAAATGGTGATCGATCATAATCAAAATTATCAATCCGATTGCGGATTGGATTTTGTTGCACAATAATTTGATTGAAATCAGAGAATATTTTTCACTGGGTTGGCTCCCAGTTTTTCGTTAGACAGCAGTTGCTTGTATAGCCCAGAATGTTCAGTTAACGATATTGATGAGGGTGTGGATCTGCGACTTCTTTCCATCCCCACGAAACATTCACATCCACACCTTTATTTTTCACATCTCTACATGGTTCTCTTAAAGGAATGGGTTTCAAAATATTAAATGAAATAAGTGATATCTGTTATGCATGAGCATGAGATACAATTTCAGTATTGTTCAGACATAGACATCTAAAAAACCCGAACTCAACTTCGAGTTTTGATACCGAACTTTATGGGATTCAGCTCGAACTCGATCAAGCTCAAACGTCAAAATCTCGAACTCGAGTCGAGCTCAAACTCGAAAGTTTGAGTTTGAGTCGAGTTCGAGTTCCATGGGTCAAGTTTGGATTGAGCTCCGTGATGGCTGTGGATGTGGGTGTGGGCATGTGTGAGACTCAACCGAAGGTAATCGAGATCGGGGAATCCGAATCTGCAATTAGTTTTTCAATATTCTGAACTTAACTCTTTTTACTAAAAGCACTTTGTTAGCAACAAATCTCGTTTTTACGCTTAAGGCATTCCTTTTACTAAAAGAAGAATCATTTTTCTTACAAAAAAGAACTTTTCCAGTGAAAAAGTTACTTCCTATGTACGAAAGTTCCTTCATTAAAAAGCGGCTTCTAGAGAAAGCGATGTTTTTCGGTGAATAAGCTATGTTCGAGAAGAAAACCAAACTCAAAGTTTTGCGAGATTGACTTCAGATTCGAATTCCTCGACCTCGATTACCTCCGGTTAAGCCTTATAATAAACTGTTATTTTCTTTAAAAAACCTTTCTTTTATGAAAAAAGTCAAGTTCAAAATTTTGGAAAACTAATCGCAGATTTTGATTCCTCGACCCCGATTACCTTCGATTGAGCCTCACACACGCCCACACCCACATCCATAGCCATCAGTGAGCTCAATCCAAACTTGACCCATGAAACTCAAACTCGACTCAAACTCGAACTTTCGAGTTTCAGCTCGACTCGAACTCGGGTATCTATGTTCGAGTTCGAGCTCGAGTCCGGAGTTCGAGTCGAGCCCAATATTTTCGAGCTCAAACAGTTTGGGTTTGATGCATGTCTGAATCAGACATCTAATTCAAGTGTTCTTGGGATTCCGATGGGATTCTCGAGATTTCCATAGGATTTCCGGGATTTCCGGATTCTGATGGGATTTCCGGATTCTCACGGGATTCCCGTGGGATTCCGAGGATTTCCTTGGGATTCGGAATCCCGAGAATCCGCCGATTCCCCCTTGGCTTTGACCATGTCTCAGGAAGGAAGAGCTATGGACACGAAAGCTTTTAGGATTTTCGCAGTCTCATTGAGACCTACCTGTAGCTAAAAGATGAAGCCGAAAGCTCGGAATCAGTTGGACTAGTTTCCTCGTACGTAGGAATTTACCATACGAAAAAAACGGGAGTGCACCGAACAGTTTCCTGAAGATTTTCTTATATGTTTTTCAGAGAGTTTTAGTTTGAACGTTATAGAAATCCATCTAGAGCATGAAGTCATCACAATGGATTTTCAATTTTGAGATATCCATTAGAACTATCAATCAAGGATCCGTAAATCAGGGCCAGTCGACAACTATTAGAACCCGTTCATAATGCGTCATAGGCATTTACTTTATTGAGGTGGAAGTTTACTCTATAGATTCATCTAAAAACGTATGTATTTTGATTAAATCGGAAAAAATTCAAAAAATGTGTCAGAAATTTGATAAGACAGAACTTATTGCATTGTTACCTCCACCTTCCAACGGCGAACACCGCATATGTCTACCATGCTCCCATCAAAAGATATTTATATCTCTTTATTTGAAATGAATATAATGCAGTAATTTTCAACTGCAGTAACGATTGAGGATAAGAATCTTCACAACTTTTCGTAGCTTCATTAGTAGTAAACTCGCTTCTTAGTTTGAGAACTACGAGTCTCATTTCAATAAATATTCGCTTTTGTGATGGCAATAAGTTTTAAAAAATTGTGGCCCAATTGTTTTTTAATTGCCCATTGTTGTCCAATCCTCAGAATAGTTTAGTTGGAAAACGGCCCAATGGTGAAAAATTCCTAGCTACGCCACTGGCACTAGTCGATTCTGAGTCACCAGTGTCTTGAAAAAATAAACAATAAACAACTAATTTTTATATTGAATATCTATTCGATAAAAAAAATTCTTTTTTGCTTATAGGACTTTTCATCGTTTTCAAGTATTGAATGTATTATTATAGTTGGAACATCTTATCAACAACAACAACAAAAGAATGAAAAAATAATAATAACAAAAAAATATAGTTATAATCTGACCAAGAAGAATGAATCAATAAAAAAATAATAATAACAAAAATTTAGTGATATTTCACTAAGAAGAATTAAACAATAAAAAATAATAATAACAAAAATCATAGTTATATCTCATCAAGAACAATTAATCAATACAAAAATAATAACAAATATTTAGTTATATCTTACCAAGAACAATAGAGCAACAGAAAAATAATAATAATAACAACAACAATTTAGTTTAATTCTTCAGGTTCTGAATCAACTATTTGATTATTTTCACATTCTTTTTCTGCTATGATGTGGTACACATAAACAAAAACAAGAATCAATGAACAGATAGAACATACAATTAAAGCTTTTTTTCCTGAAACTTGATTGAGAACGAAAGCACCAATTATAGTAATCATAAGTCCTATAATAACAGCACTGGTCCAATTAAACAAGTATTTCATATGCTTGTATACTAGAAAAACGTCAAAAGATAGATTATGAACGAAAACGTTCTACGTGTTAGGTTTTTCAATAGCAACAAAAAAATATAATGTACAAGAGCAAAAAGCAGAAAAAAGACAAAGGAAAAAAAACTTATTTTGTCCATGTTCTTAATTCAATTTATCTTTTTTTTCATTTAAATTGAACCAGTATGATATAAACTTCAGGAATTCTATTATATAGAAGAAAAGATATACATAATTTATGTTTTTGTATATTTTTTTTAGAACATCAATGAGAGAGAAGTACGGATATAATAAAATAAGTTTTAGTCTACTTACTGTTTTGTTGAATTGATAAACCTGTTTCATTCGTTGGTTGTTCTTCTTCTTCAACAATTATTGTTGGTGATAATGATGATGATGACGACGACATAGACTTGTTTTCAATATCAATCAAATCATTCTAAAAGAGCGAATTATAAAAATTAATATAATTTATAAATTTCTTTCGTACACGAATTTGTTCCATTTGTTGATGTATTTCATGATTGGCAGGATCTTCAACTATCTGTTGGCTGAACTAAAAATATTAAATGAAATTTCTTTTTACTAAACAGTTTTTATCTTACTTGTAAATATTTTGATTGTAATTGTTCTTTTTTTTCATCCATGTTTAATTGTAATTGACAATGAACGATAATGACAAATACGTTTGAGATAAATACTCTAAAATATTAAAGCATTTTAATCAATGACGACGAATCAAGATGATAATAAATATAAGATTAAGATAGAGTTGAAAATACAAAGACAGTTAAATAGACATGATTATGAATAATATAATAAAGTAAATAATTTTATTTTTTATATCTAATTATAAGTACAAAATAAACAGTAGAGAAGAAAATAAATGAAGAGATCTATTTAATAAACATCTGACGTTTTTTTATTCGTTTGATTAAATTTCACCTGATAACATTGTATTAAGATCTAAAATAAATAAATTGATGAATATATGAAAAAAAAAGAATGTTAAAAATAACTTACCACTTTTAGCTAATGTTTCATCTTGTTTACTTGTTTGTGAACGTTGAACAAATCGAGAAAATGTATCAACAAATGGTTTAAGGGAAGTTTAATTATAATCTAATGAAATTTATTTATTTTATTTAATTAAAACAAAAAAACCTTTTTATTTAGTAATTATTTTCTCATTAAATTCCATCTTCATTTTGTTGATTTTGTTTTGGTAATTGTTCAACTTGTTGACATAATTCATTTAATTTTGGTACTGAACCTTCTTTACATGGATCAAAATATTTTAATGAATCGAAATCAATTGGTATTGATACACGACCAGTTTTTGGATGAATACTAAATGGAAATTTAAGTAAATGATTCATTCCTTTTGTTACATTTGCATCAAGACGTGAATAACAATATTCAAACATTATTTCATCAATTAATGTTGTATATGCAACTTTACGAAACTATTTTATAAAGAATTTTTAGAATTAAAAATAAATATATAAGAAAATACTTTAGTTGTACTTGTTACTGAATTAATCATTGCATCAGTATGTTGTTTAAAAGCAGCCCATCGTTCTGCTGATGTTGATAATTCAGAAAATATTTCACGTAATGTATGACGACGTATATATTATTATTATTAAGGAAAAATATTATTTTCTTATCGAAATACATTTTATCAGAAAAACATCTCAAATGTTTCGCGAATTACATTTCTGCATTATCCGTAAAATTATGTCTTCATGGGGGTTTTCCCATTCCACAAGTATCGGTTGGAATTTCAGTAAATGATAAAAATTTTATTAAAAGTATTAATGACTCCAAAACGAACTCGTAACTTGCGAAACATTTGAGAATGATTTTTAATTTAAAATAATTATTTGTTAAATATGAAAAAAAAGGATATTATCATCAGGAACAAGTCAAAGGAATCGTTCAATACGTTGATCATCTACAAGAAAATCTTGTTCTAAACATGCATAACCATCAAATTCAGTTAAAATTATTTCACGAGCGTGTCTAAATTTTATAGTAAAAATAAATTTAAAATTCTGTTTTTTTATTTTTAATTTTATTTACTGAAGTGATGGATGTAATGGAGAATGAAGTGTTACACGTTTTAATGCATCTTTTCCACTCTAAATATATAAATAAATAATAAAAATAATAAAAATTTCTCATACAGTAATAACAGTTAAAAATGTTCAACAATAGCTTGTCGAATACTTGATTGTAATTCTCTTGCTGTTTGATCACAAATCCAACAATGAACACCATGTCGACTAGAATAAATCCATAAGCAATGTTCAAATCCAAAATCCTCTTTAAAAGAAATTTTTTTTTTCTTAAACTAAATAAAATAAAAACAAACCATCTAATGCACGATCTAAGATTTGCATAGCAAATCTCTCATTAATGTCCAACATTTCGAACAAATATCAGCACCACTTAAAAAAAAACAATTTTATTTTATTTTATTCTAAAAAAATTAAATTAATTCTTTACCGAGAACAAAATCGAACATCATCATAATCAGTCATATCAATATCAAATACAAGTTCACGTTCAATTGGATAAAATTGTGTAGCAGAAAGCATTTTATGATCTTTTGGCTAAATTAAAAATAATTTAATTAGAACAAAAAACCACAATAAAAATATTACTTTAGCTGAATAAACAGTACCAATATCAATTTTTTCTGGACACATTTTGATTAATTCTTTTTCAAATTCAATATGATTAGAAAATGAAAGATAACGACGATAAACATCATTTTCAAGTGTAAAACTAAATTCACGTTGAGCAAACTGAGGACATGCAGCAGCTAAAATAAATAACAAACATTTATTTGATAATTAATATTTTTCACTATACAAATCTGCCAACTCTATTTCACTTCTAGTTGAATTCACAAAGAATTTGTATTGTTTATTAGAAAATCAAATCAAATTGGATGGATCGATTTATTATCTTAACATGTTTTCGGGAAAAGGACAAACTGATTGCTCTATAGTCTCTATCATTATTGGCTTCATCTTTGTTTTGAACAAGGTTTTTACAGGAACGCTTTGCTGCACAGATTTCTTTCGCATGTTCGAATTTCTCGATTCAATCATTGTTATAGTCGATTTTGGCTCTCGAATCTTGAACAGCATTATACAAACTAAGATAAAAGGTCGATCAATCGAATGTTTTTTTCATTGATACCTGTTTCACCCTACTTGTTATAAGGTAGGGATAAGACAAATCAATTAAAGCAACTCATAGGGCTTCATGTTATACAAAACTGCTTTTTACAACAGTCTCTCAATCATTTCAATTATATGAGAACCATGAAATCATTTTGCTGTGCTTTGCCGTGAAGGATACAGTCAGTTGTTTGATTTCTTTTTCAAAAAAAAAAATCTTTACTGCCTTTATTAATGTAACTTCATTGTGTTTGATAATTAAATTATATATAAATCATTGACTCACGTTCTCCATAAGCAAGCCATTTACAATAAATATGTGATGGAAAAATTCGTCGATAATAAATAGCTAAATTCCATGGTGTTACAGGTCTTTCATCATCTTGTTGTTTTTCTTCATTCGCCATCTGAAAACCAAAATCGAATGAAATACCTAGACGATTTTATTCAGTCAAATCAAAGAAAAGAAAAAAGAAAAAGAACTGAGACAAAAATACTTTTACGAAATGAATAAACTACTAAAAGAAAAAAGGATTCTTTTTTTCTAATTTTTTTGTTCTAAAGCAGCAGCACCCGAAATAATTTCAATAAGTTCAGTTGTAATAACAGCTTGTCGTGTTCTGTTATAATAAGTAGTTAATTTATTAATTAATTCTCCGACATTCTTGGTAGTATTATCCATAGCTGTCATACGTGATGATTGTTCTGATGTTGCATTTTCTTTCATAGCATAATAAAGAACAAATGCTAAATTAAATTCTTGAAATGAACAAAGTACATCAGCATCAATTAAATCATATACTTGAATTGTTTTTGAACGTGATATTGTATCATCGGATAAAATTTTTTGACATGTTGTTGTATAAGTAATAGCCGATCTAAAAAGAATTTTTCTTTTTTTAATTTCTTACTTAAATCTATTGTAAACAATTTCAGCTGAATCAAATTTCAAACCAGAATTTAATAATTGTTGTGCAATAGCTGATGCATCATCAAAAACAAGTGTTCGATTTATCAACTTCATTAACTGATAAAAGTATATTTGATACATGTGTATACGAGCAAGATCACGTACGGGATTTATCTACAATAGCAACAATTTTTTTTCCTTCTAAATTTTGTTTTCCACCAGTTAATTGTGTACGAATATTTTTAACAATTGATGAATTAGCTGCACCACAAAGACCACGATCAGATGTTGCTGCAATAAATAAATGCTTTTCAGGATCTTCGGCTTTTTCTACTTCTAAATTATCATAAAACGCTAAAACAAAAATAATAAATTTCAAGTTTGAACTAATTTTTTATTTTGTTACCTTTTGCACTCAATCCATATGAACGAGCAGCACGTAATTCTCTTTCAGCTTTTGCATATTTAGCTGCTGAAACCATTATTCATTGATTTTGTTATTTTTTGAATACTTTTTACCGATTTTAAACGGCGATTAACTATATAAAAAAATATTCTTTCAAAAAACAAAAAGAAAAAAAACTTGAAAATTCTTACTATCTTTAAGGGTTGCCATATTACGGACGGACGTGCCATTCCTATAAAAATTAAATTAATATAAAACAAAAGAAAAATATTGAAAATAAAATAATACCAGAGAAGAGCAACAGTTGTTGATTGTTGTAAAATTCCTACGGCTTTGACAACGAACGACATTATTTTTCGTTGAAAATTTCTTCTCTGTAATTGTTTATTTAATAACAAAAAAATCTAAAAAAATCTTTAATTTTCTATCTTTGATTTTTTACTAATAGAAAGAAAACAATGTGTTTTTTTTGCCATTAAACTATTGATTATTTACTAAAATCTTATTCATCAATTGTTTACCAACTAATCATATCCGAGAATAAAATATCCGATTTAACACATTAATACATTTGTAATTTATATGATTAAAAATTTCAAAAAAAAAAATCTTAAAATTAATATTAAATAATTTTTTTAATAAATAAAATAAATAATAATAAGAAATAATAGAGTCGAAATTTTTACCTCGAAAAATCGAATTCCATTTATCAAATCAAATAATATCCATCAAGAAAAATAAGTGTATGACATATATATTAAAAAGGCCGAAAACAGACAGAAATAAATGCGAAAACATCGGATTTAAATCCGAGTGTTATGTGTACTTCAAAAAGTGAACAGGTATATTCACTTTGTTTTTTATCATCTGAGACAATATCTAGCCTATTTGCTTTCTCAACTGTAGTTTTTATGCATTTTGAGCCTTTTTCGGNAACATATATTTTGCTATTAGTTATAAAGTACAGTCCAGTAGGGCTAATAACTATTTTGAGCGGGATTCTCCATTCCAGTACGAAATCTGGTTCGGCATTTCCCGTATTATATATTGTAATTCCCTTTTCAGAATTTTTAGAAATTGTAATGGTAATTTCTATCAAATTCTCATAAAAAATAAGAGCTTGCCTCCGCTTTCATTGAATGCGACCTATTGACCGTTATCATGGTCTTCTGATACGCACTTTCAATGATCTTCTTTCTCTCAACTATACTCAAGTTTAGTATCTCTGAATGATTATGTGTGACAGACACGTAAGTAGATCAAGACCCAAAGAACAGAGTACATGCAAATCTTCTTACTAACTAAATTACATTCAATTCGATTTAACATCACTAAACTAAAAAATTTTACTAAACATGACGAGATTTGTAGAGAATGCACAAATATCCATATTTGTGAGTAACGGACAATTGCTATCATTCTAAAAAAGTATTGGGCAATTGTCATCATTGTCAAAAATCATTCGGCAATACTTTTTTGAGCATTGGGCAATTGAAAACCTCTCTACCTCCTACAATATTGTTCTTACGTTTTTGTTCGAAAAAAGTTTTTGAGCCTCCCCCAAATTAAAATCGTTCCGCCGCCTCTGCTTCGTCGGCTATGATGATGGAATAATCTATGATATATTAAACATGAATTTTTATTTTTTCATAATCTTCCTATCGAGTTTAGTTAATATTGTTTTTGAAGAATGAAAAAGAATATTGATGCCAAATGAATCGTTTTAGCTCGATTTGCAAGGAAAATGAGACAAGTTTAGCCTAAATAATCAATTCTTTCTTAAAATTTTGAAGTTTTATTCCACTCAGTTTCGTACGCGAATTATAATTAAGAATAAAAACAAGTAGAATGACGATATTGCAAATTCTGCTATTTGATTTGATGAATATATCTGAAGAACATGTAGATGACGTTGGCGTACGTCGCTTATCAAAACTTGTTTCTTATTCGTAAAATAGAATTGCCATTCAACAATCGCCATCCGTTACAAATATTTTCAATTGTATTTTTTTTTCTCTTTTGATGATATATAAATTCACTTATCGTTCTATTTACTTTAGTCGTGTATTTGTGCTCTACGATTAAATGTAATGAACTTTCTAATCCATTTTTAGTTTTAGAAAAAATGTCGAAATATTTAATTATTCTTCCATTGTTATTGATGATCATAGTCAATACATTAGCAGAAGATAAATTACAAATTGGTATTAAAAAAAAAGTTGATAATTGTGATCGAAAATCCAAAAAAGGCGATCGTCTTCATATGCATTATACAGTAATTTATGAAAAATTTTAAAAATCTTTATAAATTTCTTTGTTCTTTTAGGGTACTTTGAAATCGAATGGAAAAAAATTTGATTCGAGTCTTGATCGTGGTGAACCATTTGTTTTTACAATTGGTAGTGGTCAAGTAATCAAAGGGGTATATTTATTTCGTTTTATTTTACATTAAAATATTAATAAATTTCATCTTTGTTGCTTTTTTTTAGTGGGATCAAGGATTGCTCAAGTAAGTTATTGATAGAAGATCTTTTCTATTAATAATTTAATAATATTTAGTATGTGTGAAGGTGAACAACGTAAATTGATAATTCCACCATCGCTTGGATATGGAGATCGTGGTGCTGGTAGTGACATTCCAGGTGGTGCTACACTTGTTTTTGATGTTGAACTCGTTAAAATTGAACGAGGAAATAACGATCTTTAATTGAAACTTTATCTTGATGTTTTATCTTTCTAAGTCGATTGCTAAACGTCATTAGTTGATTTTCATTTTATTGTTTCATTCTTTGTATTTGTTTTAGTATAAACATCTTAGACAAATCTTTTATGATTATATTGATCGAAAAACATTTGGTCTATATGAGAAAAAAAAGATTGTTTCATGTAATTGATTCATTAATTTCAACTGTTTAGCTGCAAATGTATTGTTTTAACCAGTGACATCAAATGTTTCTATTCACTTTTAAATGCAATTGATATCTCGCTACTATCATGCCAATAATTTGTTATTATTGGTTCAATTGAGTTGACGAAATCCGATACCTTTTAATTTTTTTTGTTATTTCCTTTATTAAAACATCTTTCGTGATATTGAAAGAGCAAAATCAGAATAATCCGATGGGGTTATCTAAGTGCTTTAAATTGTAGTAAGTTACTGTAACTACAAGAAAATGACATGTAATTTTTTTCTATCTTCATACGCATTCTTTTTTTCTCTTTGTAGCAAAGAATGACAAAAAAGAGTGGATGAAAAATTACCAAGAATGTTTTTTTTTAATATAATCGCTGTTAAATAACATAAAAGAATCAAAGAGCATTGTCTCATGACAAGCATGTGTAATTTGTGGTTCAACGCGTACATATCGTGCGCTTCGTAATTGTTGTGAACAACATTTATGTCATGATCATTTGAAAGAACATAATAGATAATCTAGCACACATAACTTGAAAATTTAGCTGATAATAGAGGGTATCCAAAAAGCTATGATCACATAATAAACATGGATAATTCAGCTACTGATTAAGTTTTATTAAAACTTTTTCTATTTGAAATAGAAGACTTGTAAGTTTTGATTCGTTAAAGAACAAGTTTATCAACAGTGTAGAAAACGTATTACTTTCGATTTCGGTTTAAAAAGTAGCCTTCTTTGGATGTTACCAATAATATTCACCATTTTTTAAATATCTACCGAAATTTCTCTGGTTAATATTAACTTCAGATCATTTAAGTTTTTGTTTTCGTTTTGGAACCGAAATGATCAGAGGATTCTAAAGACAATACATACATATATAAATATATAGATGATTTAAATTTTTTACTGTGACTTTCTAAACACTTGTTTTAATATATTCTTACGAAACAAAAGTGAGTCGATTGCAGTGTCAAGATAAGTTATAGAATAGTTTAACACATCGATTTCCACGATTATCGAAGTTTTCGAAGAAGTATGAATGGCTTGCTATGAAGAAATGTATCAATGATTCGATCGTTTTAAAATGTGTCAAACAAATGATTAAAAAACAAAAGTTAAAGATTTGCATGATCTCAAGTCTGCATAGTGTTGGTAGCATCGAAAAAAGAAGCCTAAGTATTAGATTGTAGTCGAAAATGTTATGTTTTCTACAATGCCGATGAATTTGGTCTTTACGAACCAAAACTTACTAGCCTCTTATCTCTAATAGAAAAAAAATGTTTTGATGAAACTTGATCAATAGCCAAGTCATCTATATTTATTAAGTGGTCATGACTTTTGAAACACTCTGTATATTTAAAATCAAAGCAACTTAAATTAAAAGATAACAATTATACTTTTTTTGTTCTCGAAGTAGTTCACAACTTTTTCAGTTAATACAATGTCTTAAAACAATGGCATATCGTTTGCACGTCATGCCGTGTAAAATTAAACGAAAAGTCTATTAGCAGAAGAATCAGCTCGATGGATTCTAGGAAAGAACAGAACAGTTTCAATCACTCAAAAAGCATTTATTTCTACGTCACGCGTTACTTTTCAACAATAATAGGTTGATTAGTGAAAACAGGAACAAACAAATTTTGTGGTTTTTCTCGTATTACACGATATAAACATCAATAGATAAACAAATAAAACTACAATGGTGATTACTAGCTAACAATAGATGAGGTCTACAAATTGTAATACATTCAAAATAGCTGAATTAACTGTTGTGCAACTTGACACACTCATGTTTCGTTCTTGTTGTTTTTCTTGTATTATAGATGCAGTTCGGTTGCAGGTTCATTGTTCTCATGAGACATTGTCTCGTCGTTTAACTTTAGATCGACGCGTTTGATAACTAAAGGTCATGGTTGCGTCGCCTACTGATCGATGTTGTCGATCCCATGGTTTCGGGTGGAGAGCGGCGAGACAGATAAATGGTAGAAGCATTTCGGCAAAGTAGCTGATAAAATTCATGTACATGTCAAAAATCATACCGATTTGGGGTGACGAAGCGAATGGTTTTGCAAGAGAAACGATCATTTCTGGTAGATGAAAAAAGAGATAAGGACATGATATTGCAAGTAGTTGAATAGTCATCTTGCGATGTTTACGCCATTGATTGGATTGACGCAGACGAGTACGTTTCTGCCATACAATACGCATAAGTAGTGTCAAACTGAATAGAGCAATAAGTATAGTAAAAAGAATTTCGTTTACAACTGTCTGATATAAAAGAAAAATTGGATTGTTAAATAAGCACGACGATGAACACCATTCTTCTGTGTACTGAAAGTGATGTTGGCATGGCGGAAAAAAGATCGTAAAACCATAGAAAATAATTCCATAAAGCAAAATTACGCCTATGGGAATGTAATGAAAATATATTCTTT